ATACAACGGGATACATTGAAATACAATGAGAGAAAAAAGACAGTGAATACAATGAAATAGATGAAATACAACGAGATACATTGAATTACAATTAAAAAAAAAGACAATGAATACAATGAAATACATGAAAATACATTGACATATAAAATATATTGACATATATTAACAGAAAATCATCGTACAACATCCATATCTCAATTTTACGGTATTCACGAGGCTAGTGGAGCCAGCTTATACAGCAGTGAAATTTTTTCAATTGGCAGGGACTGTATTCACGAGGCCTCTACATCATAACAGAAGTTTTCTTGAACTCAGTAGGAGTCAAGTTAGTTCATCAAAATGTTAGTGAGGGATAATTTACGAGAAGGAAGAAAAGGAAGTAAGTGTATGTACTTGATTGCACGTATCTTTTCTCATCACTAGCAGATCTTCATGTGCCAACGTTTCAACCTTAAACACTTATTAAGTTTCTCTTAATTCTAACAATACGAAAAACATCGATCCCCTGGGTTTTCTAGCTGTAGGAATATGCCGTTGTAGTCATCGGATGCGGGAACCGGAGCAATTTCTGAAGTGGGCTTTGCACAAATCCGGTGGAAGGAGGAGATGGGAAATTTTAATGGGATAGGGGAAGAGAATGAGATGTATCAAAGTAGAGAGAGAAAGAAAATAGTGTAACTGATTAGCGTATTTAGTGGCTTAGGACTAGGAGATAACCAAAATTAAATATTTTGCTATAAATCTTAAAAAAGTATCTATAGAATATAATTTTTTTAAATGATATTTATTTAAAATAAATAAGGTGTTAATCTTTGCTATAGGAGGTAAAAATTCCTTCTTTTATTCCCCTTCACCCTCCCCATTTGTATATCCACCATAAGCACTGACAAATGTTAGTCCCTCCGGGGACACCCCAAGTCAGAATCTCCCTAGAGATTCCCCTATAGTTTTATGTAGTAACTATGTAACTCTAGCTACTAGCTCCATGTAATAGTTTACTATCTAATATATGTTTATCTTTCCTGACCAAAAAAAAAAGAGGTAATTATGTCAAAGCATATGGGGCTTACCGCATCAGTTAGAAAAAACAGTAACTAAAAAATAACATACACATGCTGTTAACTGAAACATTCTCTCTCGGTCTACAACCAACTGTACATTCTCATGCAAATAAACCCACACCACTAATGGAAACATGATAAAGATGCTTATGATATCAAACAACAGCTGTTTCGAATTAGCAGTTCAAACTTTTGAAGATAGCACAAGAAACAAAATTGCCACCACATGCACCATTACTGTTTGTTGATTGAGCAAATTGTTGAACTTATCTCCTCCAACCAGGTTGAAGCGCTTTTTCTGCTAACGCAAAGAAAGGTAATCATTTGAGGAGTTGATGACATTTCAACCATGATACCTCAGTCTCAAACTTGTTGGAGTCAATTATATATGTCCTCTATATCCATACAATTCTATCAAAAGGTGACATTATTGAAGTCAATGAAAATTAAAGAGCTCATAAACATCTGATCTAATGACTACAAGAACCAATTGAGAAGAAAACAAGAAAGAGGACATCATAAACACAGCAAGAAAAGAAATACACATTACTCCATTATACACATGCAAGTGGTTTGATAGTTCTAATTGGCGAGCGAGCGAGAGAGAATTTCATGAACCCAAAGAAACAATGACGCAGCATCACCCAGTTTTAAAGAATGGATTTTAATCATCGATGATTGCCATAAGTTAATTAAGAAGAAGAAATTTTCCAGATATAGCTTACTTGATCTGACTAAGAACAAGCTTGTAAATACAATATTGATTTACTTTTTTGATAAGCAACTTCATTTCTGATTTATTTAAACTAAAAAAAACATTTCAATTAACATATAAGCAATAATGAAGGTGTACTAATTTGAGGCAGCTTTGCATCATCAAATGGAAATTTCAAAACTTAAACCGTACAACTCAACAAGAAAGAGAAGTCTGTATTCTTAGTTTCTTACCATCTCTAGAAGCTGGCATTGATCTGTTGTTCTTGTTTCCACTTATTCCATTTGCTTGAACGGGCCTTTGCACCCGAGGAGACAATGAGCTGATTTTTCCATTGGTAGAGGATGGTAGAGAATGACGCCGGACAACAACATTTTCAGCTCCATCTTCACTTACCTTAGGAGACCCTTGTGTTTTAAGCTTCGCCTTTGCAGATTGAGTTGATTCCATATAGCTGGGCACACTTGGTGTATTTTGAGAGATATTCTCGGAGTTCTCTTCCTTTGATGGAAGAGATCTCCTCCTCCTAGTTCTCTCTTTACTAGTTTGATCTTCTTTGGAGCTAAGCTCCTCATTAACAATTGGACTGTTCTTGCTTTTACCAACATTTTCCTCTTGTAATTGCTGTTGCTCAACTGTAGGATGATCATGCAACACATCAGTTGGTTCCTCCCCAGCTACTTGCATAGGAGCTTCAGTCAAAGCTAAGTTGTCAATTTCAGAAATTGAATCACTGATAGGAGCTTTAGTCAAAGCTAACTTGTCAATTTCAGAAATTGAATCACTCGTTTTCTCAGGAGAATTAACCACCAGTACTTCACCAACATTAGAAGCTGAGGATATTGAGGTTTTTGCCTGAGCTTGAGCTGGAATAGGAATCTGTCGTGCCTTATCAGTTTCTGCATCTGACTTTTCTGGAGGTGTTGCCACAGCTGCAGTAACTCTTATTAGATTCCGTTTGACCCTCTCAAGTTCATTTTGAGGTTGATCTTGCACTGATTCTATCTGATGAGTTGTGGTTTTCCTTATGTTACGCCTGGGTTTTTCAGGATCAGAAGAACTTACAGTACTAACATCACCAGTTGCTGCTGAAAGAACCTTCCTGACACTCCGTTTTGATCTTACTACTTCTGTCCCAACACTCTGTCCGCTGGCTTGTTTTTTCTGTGACTTTGTGTCAACAACTTTCTTCGCTTGTGGAAGTGGTTCCCAAAAGCGAGATAGCGACCAGCGCTCAAGCCACTGCCGAACTGAATTAGGTTCACACTCATCATACTGAAGGCTCAAGGGCATGGCGATTGGCACTGCAGCAAGAAGCTAAAACAAGAAACAATAGAACTGTCAAATTATATTCATGTCTAGAGAAAGAATATTTTACTATTTACTTGTCATCAGTTACTACGTTCATTTGTTATCCTTCACATCCATTTCAGAAGAAATATCATTAGAGCTCAGTGATGTACATCATATGGTATTAGCTTTTGTCAATTGAAGCAACTCCCCTCCTTCCTCCCTCTGTGTGAACACTTATTCCTTTACCGTAATCCTACCACTTTTTAGATTATATTGATACCTCACAACTCTTAATATACCATGAACAAGAACCTGAACAACCTCTCAACTAGTAAATAACTCTTTTCCAAGGATTAAGGCATCAAAGACCGATTTGGTACTACACATATTTAACTTCCTCGGCAAATGAAGTATCACAACTTTCTGGTTTCAGTTGACTTGGAAGGCATCAAGGCACTATCAAATTGACCTGAGAAGACTAGGACTATCATCACAATAAAGACAAATCCAAAATACTCCAGAGCACTAAAGGGCCAAAGAGGCATCAGTTATACTCATTCAGACAAGGCGAGTTAGTAAAAGATGGACATGATGCGAAGGAAGTTAGGATTATTTAGGAACTTGGGCATATGTGCAGAATATCAAATCTCTTTATCCAATAAAACAAAACAAAACTTTTTATAAAATCAACTTTTTTTTAGATAAGGTAATGGATTTCATTTTAAGGCATCAAGAAGAGGCAAAATTCACAATGCGGGAAAAAATAAAAAGACAGCGTTACTCTATTACAACTTATTATAAAATCAACTTTTTATATATTAAAGAAACAGAAAGTTGAAGATATATCAGATACCAGGTTATTCTAACCTTCTAAGATGGATTCTTTCTGTTTTGTTTCATCTGAGGAAGAAAAGGTCAACAATACCTTGCAAACAAATGCACTAGCTGTTAGCTTTTCTGGCCTAACAGACATGCTTACAACAGTTAAATCCACCTGCTTAGCATCCTGCTCAAACAGAGAACACACATAATGCAGGGTCAATAGCACAGACATATTATATATCATGTGTAAAACACATGAAAACTATCCAGAAACTTATCAAGGTAAAAGAATAGGAACAGAGGCACATTAGCAGATCTGATACGTGTTCATGGTGATCAGTGGCAACAAAGTCAAACTTTGCATTTTGTGCTCCGCTAACATTATCAAAAGTGACAAAACACCATTTGGGAAGGGACCTCATACTTTCAAAGTGAAAACATTGGATGAAGAGGGTATGCTCAATATAAGAAAACCATGAACTATGTCCAAATTTAATTGGTCCCATTAAGAGACTCGTTTTATTGATTTGAATTCTTAAGAGGCAGAATACTTGGGGGAAATTGGTAAAGTAGATTTAGATGACGAAAAGGGAAATTAGATGGAGCAAATTGGGATGGAAACTAAGCAAATATTGAAAAAAGTTCATACATCGTTCAATAACTCTTAAAGAAAGTAGGAAAAAAAATACAGAACTTAAAAAAATATTTGATCGTGATTGCTTCAATAAGAAACAACTCTGCTTATGTAAGATTCATATTTTTAATAATGCATTCAAAGATGGCAATTGAAGATTCTTCATCCAAAAGAAAAAGATGGCAATTGAAGATAATCCCACATCCAATTCTATGTGACACTATTCATTTTGGAACAACTTAGTGATTGACACACTATTAGAAACACAGGTACTGTCAAAAATTCTTTTTAAGTTTTATAAAATATGAAATCATAAATTTATAACTTAAACTATCAAATTCATTTATCCAAGCTTAAACCAGCAATCTATGTTTCTGGGGTCCAACAAATGTTAAATAGAACTTTCTTCTAACCTACAGGTATAATACATCAAACTAGCTCTTTAATCTTTGCTCATAAAGATCGAGTCAGTCTCGTTCTTATAACAATGCTTTCACGTAACAGGACGAGGATAGCGGCGGGAGATGAGCAAGAAAAAGGAGGACATTTTCACAAAAGCATTTAATAAGACATGTATTCCAAGAGTTACCTTATGTTCTCCGTAATTGTACCTCCTAAGGACTTGATGGGTGGGATCTGAAAGTCTAGCCCTTTGACCACGAGCTAATGCCTGAACACTAACAATTGCTCGCATGCACCGTAGAGTAGCAACTGCCTGCCTCCTTACCAAGTGCCCACGAACAAGAGCTTGCAGCCGTATAATGCCTTTAAGCGCTCGAAATGCCCGACGAGCCTGACAAACAAGTACATAAGTCATGGTCCCCTTCAACAAAAGAACAATTCAAGGTGGGTTATTTGGTTGTAATTAGAAGAAACTAAAAGCATTGGAGCTTCTTCAGTTTTTAGTAAACCACTTATTCTACCTATAGCAATACTGAACCCTGCAGGCAGGCAGGCAAGCAAGATATATAGATTTAGCTTCTAGACTTCATATCGGATTCTATTTGAAAATTGATATACATAAAGAGAAACACCTCTCTTATCCAGTATCTGAAGTAAAGCAAAGTAAAAGAAATAAGAAACACAAAAACACCCAGTTAATGCATCTGAAACTTGGATCATCATGAGGATGCATTAACTCAAGTCCCCAATCACTGTTTGATGAATAACAGTCCTAGTCACACAGAAAATAGCAGTGCAGAAGATCATAGAACATCAAAAAAACTCCTGATAAACAGAATAAAAGGCTTTATATTTTGTTTACTTTTAGAAATTTATGCATATACGGATGTACATGCAGAATGTATTCGCAAGTGTAAACTAAGTCAAATATTAACCAACGAATATTGGCATTTTTAGTGAAGACACCACTGTTCATCAAATAGTGATATGATGTGCTATGAACATTACCAAGTAACCCCTAAAGGCTGCTTGTGCTTTTGTTGCAGCTTGCTCTAGCCGTTTTAACTCCGCATCATCAGCTGAAAGTGCTCCATTTGTAACTTGTGACTCTATATCTTGTATCACAGAGGATAAAGCAGCACTATCACATGTGATGCCAATACTTGTTCCCTTCTCCACTGCAGTCTCAGAACCCCTATCAACATTCTGGATTGGTGGATTAGGGGCAAGATCCCCCGCAAATGCCTTTGTCACAAACCTTTTCTCACCGCTGATGTCCTACATATGGAACACAGATTGAGATGGTAAATATTTCGAAAAATATTCTTAAGCAAAATTATAGAGACAAAGAAAAAGGAAACTTTGGAGTAAAGAGTATTTCAAAGAAATGTCTACAGGCTTAAATTGCTTGAGTTAAAGCAGTGGAATAATTTAAAACTGAGGCTTGGACGTAGGTTATTTACTTCTCCCCTCTCCCCCCCCCCCCCNCAAAAAACAAGCCATCACCCCCAATCAATCCACAAGGCTTTACGCAACTAGAGCAACCTTTGAAGGTGCTCGGCTTTGTTCACCCTTTCAGCTAAGTATCCCGCTTTTTCCCTGAGGGGAGCCGAGATTTTGAATATGTGGGCCTTCATCCCCTTCAGAGAGTCCCTTTTTTCCAATCTATAAATAGAGTACTGGCTCGCTATTCATATTATTTCTGCTTGATTGCAGGAAGAACTCCATTTTCACTTGAATTCTGGGTCTTGGCGCGTAGCAGCTCCTAGAAGTTGGTGTGGCTATAAATCATCTTATGACTGGTAAATTAGGAAACTTAAAGTAAATTTGTTTCTACAAAAGGAAGTATGACATTCTTTTTGGGTCAGACTAAACACGAAAGTATGACACATAAATTGGGACGGAAGGAGTATTAATTTTTTAAGATAAGTAGCTGATGAACGTAATATATGAGAGATTACATTTGCATCCCACTTCTTTACTCTCACAACCAAATCATATGAATTTCATTGAACTCTACTAATGTTTTATTTTGTAACTGATTTTAATAATCTTGTTCTTCAAGTTTCATCAAGCCATTGTCCCTAAATGATCTAAAAAGAAATCATGAAAATATCAATGATTTCATAAGAGGGGGGGGGGTCAGTCAGTAGCTAAGATGATTACTTAATAATCCATGAAAGTCTCTAATTTCCCAAAGGTCAAATCTAACTCAAGTAGCAAATTATTTCATAAAAGAGATCAAAAACGTATAACTTTTAAAGCACAGCCAGAAAGTAATTTTCATGCATCCAGGATTCATTTTTATTAGGGAAAACAACAAGAGCAGGGAAGAGAGAGAATATATTGTCTTCGACCACCAGCCCGGTAGCAATATATAAGACAAGAAAACACTGACTATTGCAGCCAGAGACAGCCAAGAACACTAACGTACAATAAAAGCTTCTCACACCTTTGTGAAACTAGACTTGGATGACTTTTTCCCAAAAAGCACAGCCTTGATCCATTTTCCCGGAGACTTCCCCATTACTAAAAGCCTGACGCTGGGAACAATGGGACTTCAACTCAATCCTGCATTAATTAAAAAGAATGCGTAGTTAAATATATGGTAGTGCGCACATATTGAATATTGAGTTTAAGTTAAACTCATATTGTTAAAGACAATATTCATTTACTAAGACACCATATAAAGATGATATGGTGATCTTTTTATGATGAGGGATTAACAAGCTTGTAGCTGTAAAAAGGTGATATTTTTTTCACACAGTCATGAAGCTGCAAAAATCAATTTCTTTAAGACTTCCGTGTTGCAATGCAAGTGAACCTCTACAAAGAATATGTCTTACAGTTTCGCTGCTAGTCCGCTCATTGATCTTGCACGTATTAATCGAGATCATTAACTTACTTGGACTCTAGAGGAAAAATTTAGCAGCTACTCTAATGACCTACATGTATTTTCTCATTGCAATAGCTCGTGATATTTTAGCACCGTCAGTCCAATCAAGTTAAACTTATCACTAGAAAAAAGGTGGAAACGAGCAGAGGAGTGAAAGCACAAAATGAAATTTTAAGGATTCTAAGTTAATCCCATCCAAATGAGAGGGAAAAGTGGGGAAAAAAAAATATAGCACCCTTGGCCTAGTGTTCTCAAGTTCAAATCCCAATGGAGACGAAAAACATTAGGTGATTCTTCCCATCTGCTTAAGCAAAGTTCCAAGTAAGTCGGTAGCAGGTATTGGGGCATATACTATTAACCATATATTTGGATATAGTATATTCTAATAAATTGTCATGGTTAAAAGTCTAAGTGGGAGATTGTTGGGATATATACTATTAACCATGAGTTTGGTTTAGATATAGTATTTATTATGAAACAATTGTTTATTCAGTTTTAATAAAGTTTTAAATAGATCATATATTAGTCTGTGTCCTTTGCTTATATAGTAGATGATTTAGTGTATACAGTTTAACTTATACACAAAAGATTAAATAATCGGTTCTTATAAGTATAAAGTTTGAGTTCACAATCTAATGATGGAATTGGACAAACCATCAGGAATGATTGTAGCACAAGATTAAATATAATTTATATTGATTATGGGAATGGTTTAATTCCAACTTCTTATGCTAGTATATTTTGTATGTATTGAACGGACCAAGTAGAGATAAGTATTTTATACTGACTTAATAAAATAAACTCTCTAGCCATTAAATGTACTTATACTCTTAATCTTGATATAATTATTATTAGTTGTGTACATTATTATTATTTTGATTTATTAAAAGGCGAGATTCTTTCGTGGGTTAATATGCCTAGTAAATTGGAGAATAATAGTGTACATTGGCGAAATAATAGTTAGTTGATAGAATCAATGTCTCGGTTTAGAGATTGATGATACACCTTTATGAAAGCTTATAAGTTTTCATGTGTAAACCCGGCCGGTGGATTTTGTATCCGACACATGAAATAAGTTAAGCAAAAGTCTAAAGGAAATAATCAATAAATTAAATCGTCAGTAATTTAATTTAATTGATTAGTATCTGAATCTTAACATGGGGAGTTAAATAAGATTTAATGGATGAACTATGAAATTGAATAAGGAGTGCAATTACGAATTTTTAGTGGAATACTTCGTAATTAATTATGGTGGATATTAATTTCGAAAATTACAAATTAATTCCATAATTGGAAGCCTTGTTAATTAAATTTTGTGGTCCCTACTGTGCCTAAATAATAGGAAATAGAGGAATCCTTTTTCTGGTGGAAAAGAAAACCCAACAGGTTTTGGAAAAGGGTTTTAACACTTAAAACTTGTGCTATAAATACATAAGGTTTTCCACCTAGAGGGAGTACTTGAGAGTGGCTGATTTTTCACCCTTTTTCCTAGAAAATTTCGCCCACACGAAATTACTATTTCCGGGTATTATTTGGGTAACACAGTAGAAGACCGTTGAACGTTCGGAGATCGTGCGGGTGGTGGAGAATTCATTGAGTTGTTGTGGAATTGAAAGCTCACGTGATAAAGGAGCTTTGTTCACGCTCCAAGAGGTAACCCGTGAAATCCCATTTATGCTACTTGCCTAGATTACATGTGATTTTGATACTGGGATTGCTTCCGCTGCTTATTATAATCCATCAGCAGGTACCCGGTGGAATTGTGGAGTTACGGGCAAGCTGGCCCGAAAACCACCGTCGTAAAAAAATATAATAAGGGCACCAATTCAATTTCCTCAACCAACAGATTGGACGGAAAATAGCAGAAAAAGATTATTTTTAAAATATTAGGAATTCACTAAGACAAGGGAAGTAACAGCAGAAAGGCACTGAAAGATCTACACTAAAACCAAAAGAAAAAAGGAATCCAAGAACAATTAAAGAAATGTAGAAGTTTTTGAGAAGAATGTGGTGAAGATCTGAGAAGTACCTGAAAATTAGAGGTCGTTATGTTAAAAGTCGTGGCATAGCTCAGCTGCAAAGAGAGATAGAAAGAGAGCACACTGATATTGGTAGAGTAGTTACAAGCAGAAGGAAGAGTTTAAAAGGATTGATTGAGATGAAAGCTAAGGCCCATACACTGAAATGAGTTATTTTCGTGCACTGAAGCAAAATGGAACCCCCCCCCCCCCCCCCCCC